AAAAAAAATAATTGTTAATAATCATTAAAAGCCGCTCATTATTCGTTCTGCAAAAATCACTTAATCGCAAGAAATCAGAAACGATCTAAAGCTAATTGACATTTACTTTTTTTATATAAAACTCAGTTTTTTAAAGAAAAAACTTTTGTGCTAAAAAAATACCAGTAAGATTTGATCATTGGCTAATAAAAGCTAAAAAAAAATTGGCTTTGCCATCAACTGCAACCTACTTTCTGACCGTTTCCTTGACCACCACATCGTCCACGGCACCGGCAACAGCAATATATTATGCCAAATACAATCATTAACAATACATACAAAACTGCAATAGCAAACAGAATTATCATACCGACCTGCAATTAACATTCTTTGACTTGTGGAAAAACCAGTATGGTAAAAATCTGTTAACCGAAAATTGCAAACAGTTGCAAAATCTCACTAAGCGACAGAGTTTTTTTCTAAGAGAAACGTTTTCTAAGAATAGAAGTGATTGCAAACTTTTAAGAAATTTAATGTTAACTTTTGTAAAAAGCCATCAGATCAATTTTTGATAGGTTAGCAGAGGAAATTAGAAAACATCAAATTGACAAAAAAGCTTATATTGTTATATAACTTAATTCACGCAAGTTGCTAAAAGAAGGAAAAATGAACACAACAAAATCAAGTGTAAAGTTTTTTTACGGTGACAACAATATTAATGAATGTTTAGGCTTACCTCTTTTTTAAGAATTTCTCCAGATGAATGTAATACTTTGCTCAGCTGAACATCATCGGTCCAGAACTCTCCAAACAGCTAAAATGTTGCTGCTTACGCTTTTCTACAAAGTTTTTGGCCAAAATAAAGAAAATTTGTTTGCATTTTGTCTGGGTACAACTTCTATTATTTTGCTACTTTTTACAAATTCTGCTGCATTTATGATTAGGTTTGTTTTTGAAATAAAAATTGCGCACTCGCTAATGAAATTAACATTGCCATTTGTGATGGGCAATTTGTGGGATAAAACTTTCAACTTTTATTTCCACACAAATTTGTTACTTAAAGAAACACACACTTTTATTTTTTCAGATTAATATATGCAATTGACACAACGGTTCGTTCTAACGATACGTCAATGGTTTTGTAGCTGATAAGATAAAGTGCGCAGGTACAGAAAAAGTCACTAAAGACTGACTAAGGTACGTCGATAAGTAGTAAAAAAAAAGGTGTTGCAGGCTTTTATGACAGTTCTTCTGTTGTTTTAAGTTGGTTCGTGGCATAACTGACCTTCTCTTCATTATCAAAAACAACTTTTTTGACTTTGCTAAACAGAGATACAATTTATGATTCAAGTAATGCAACTTGATTTTTTCGATTCTTATTAATTTGAACAAGACTTTCATTCTAAATCATATTTCCTAAGTTACTCATTTTGTTTAGATATTTTTTTGAAGGTTTTCTTTAAACTAATAATGCTACTGATGTCACTGTACTCTAGTTTTATTTTAAATCTGACACTACGATGTTGAAACTTCCTATTTTGGTTCAGAAGTATTGCTTTAAAATTAACAAATCAATTTTGTTTGAACAAAGTGCAACTGTCTTAGCATATAGTTAAAAAAAAATCCTGTACAAAAAAAAACAGAAATATTTTTAAAGTTACAACTGAACTTTCTAAATCAAGAAGAACAAAATATAGCAATGATAATGCTAATTGTAAAGATTACTTTAGAAGTTACAAAACAATTGTACATAAGAAAAGGTTTATGAATATGCTAATTGGTAAAGCAAGGAATATCAAGAAAAAGATAAGAAAAAAACGAGGAGTAACAATTAGAAGAAGTATTTTTAAAGTTATTTGGTAGACTTTATTTGTTGCAAACTGTGTATTAAAAATGTTTTCCAAAACGATAGTAAAATCATTGTATTTTGAAATAAATTAAAAATGGTTTTGAAATTTGTAATTATCATTCTAAAATAAAGTCAAATTTTATTTTATTTTTATAAATAAACTTAATAAAAATAATTTTTTTATTAGATTATATTTTACAGGTGCTGCAGTAGTCTAATAATGAAATGAACAAAGAAGGAGAAGGGAACTAAATTTTGCGCTCTAATATAGGCTTCTTCAACGAAGTTACCAAAAAGTTTTGTTATAATTATATTTTACTTTTCTCTCAACTCGTCTTTTACTGGTTTATGCTTGAAAAAGTAACGACTAGCAAAACACTTACAGCTTATATGACAGTTAGTTTTGAACTTTTTTGTTTTGTGGGTAAAAATGATTGTTGAGTAAAGATCTTTAAAAAATAGAGTCTCTCTTTTGAGGTTTAACAAAATAGAGTGTAATTCAGACGTTTCTAACGATGAATTGTTTTAACATTGAGAATTTTAGAATTGTTGTTTTTACTACTTCTTGTTTTTACTACTATTTTAGGATTCTGATTGTTGTTACAGTTACTAAATTAGTATTTCAGTAATTGATACTCATTGATCATCTGTTTATTAAGTGTACAAAAAAAGGTATTGCTAAAATGTTCTACCATCTAAACGTTGTAATCAATCGAATTATATGTGTCATAAAAAACTGTCAATTTGTCAAAAACATTCTGAAAAGAAGTAGTAAAGTTTTAGAAACTACTTTAACACTTTTTTTTTCTTTTTTTGTTTACTTTCTTTTATCTTTACACCACAAATAATTACTGCATATTATTCAACAAAAAAATTTATTGGTTGTTTTATGGGCGTAAAATGATCGTTTCGTTTACTTTTTTTAAGGAAGTATCAACATGCAAAATTGGAAGTGTTTTTCCGAAGCAAACCTTTGTTTATACTTAAAAAACTATTTTTACAATTTATCATTTGTTGTCAGCAGTAAACAAGTTTTGATAGATTCAAAAAATTATGCATTAATTATCTGTGGTTATGTTGTATTTGTACTGTCTTTATTTGGTCATTTAAAAGTTTGAAAAAAAAATTAACATTGGAACAGCTAGGGATTAGTTAATTGTTCATTTGTTTTTGTGACTATTTATTTTTAAAAATTTGAGACTTAAAATAGAGAGTATAAATTACAAAAAAATATTTCATAGTTAAGAATGCTTTATTTGGTTCATTCAGACAATAAAAAAAGGCATTTGATTTGCATGCTAAAGAAAAGAGGTGAAAAGATAATGCAAAATTGCTTAAACAGACAGAGCAAAGGTTATCTTTAAAAGTGATAACTTTTTGTTGTACCACAACAGTTTTTTTTTGTTTTTTTGATAAATTAATACTAAAATAGTTTTATTTAAAAATTTATATGTAAGTTTTATTTGTTAAATTACAGGTATTTTTTAACACTACGAAAGTTTTATAGTGTTGGTAATAGTAATTCTTTTTCTTCAGGTTTTCTTATTTTTGTTAATACTGAGCATTGTTGATACATTACAAAACGACTCAGTTGTCGACTTGTTTACAGACATTATAATAATTTAAAATGTCTGGAATAGGATAATTAAAGATCAGTGAAGAAAAAGTGCGAAAAAAAAAAATAAAAAATAAATTTTAGTGATGCATGATTTTTTTTCAAGTTTTTAAACACCTGATACTATTGAGCTAATTTAGACGTAGAAAACGTACTTGATCTAAACAAGGTGTTAGACCAGTAGCAAATTCAAAGAGTTTTTCAAATATTAGGCTTACAACAGTTCAGTGCAGATGATAACTTGAAATCAAAGTTCAAACTGCTCTAAATTTTAAATTATTATCTTGAAAACAAAACGTATGCAGAGCCAAATAAAATACATAGCAAAAAATAGAGCAAAAAAAGGGTGATAAAATATTGGTATAAATATAGAAAATAACAAACCGTACTTCTAAATCATGGTCGTTCAGATTTGCCTGTATATTTTTAGCAATACCTTGTGCTATTTTATAGAAAGTTTCCTGACTGCCAAAATCAGTTTCAATATTGGTAAGATTTGTTGTATAGTATTTTGAACAACTTGAATCTGCTGAAAAACAAAAAAAAAAAAA